CACGTAGAATATTGTGGAGATTGATTTTGGAATTTAGATGCACTGTTATCGATTGTGCTTAGCCATATATGTTCATATCCTTGAAGATGTATCATGGAAGTGTTGCAGCCTAGAAGACACAAATTTAATTAACAAGTTAGAAGTACATGAGTCAAAAATTAAAAGCAATAATATTCCAAGAGGTTCTAACAGTGGCAGAAATCAAGTTTACAGAGAGAAGGTAGTTCTTTGAGTAGAAGGCTTATTGACTATGTGCTTGATTTTTTTATAATTTGTTCTAATTACTACAGCACTGATCTTTCAAAATGCTCTACCACAGTAATATGTGGGTCACTGTTCAGCTCAAAGCTATGCCACTGGTGTTTCAAATGCCTCAGGGTCACTCATGGTGGACAGGTTTCAAGAGAGCTCCCATATAAAGACAGACTAGGGAGGAGGATTGGCCATCCACTCCCAAAATAGCAGGCCTTCGAAAACCCTATGAACACTAGAAAAACATGGGCAGCTGTAGTATTAGAGGTAGAGCCCAAATGGTAAGCCACTCACAAATGAAGAAAAACAGCTGCAAACAAACATTAATAATTTTTATGTGGATTGTATGATATATGAATGTAGGAAATCTAAGGTTGTAATAAATAAAGTGCATAAAGGTAGACATTCTAGGCATTAGTGAGCTGAAATGACTGAAATTAGCCTCTGTAAATCAGAAAATCATGTGATCTGCTATGCTGGGAATGAAAGGTTAAAGGAGAATGGCATTGCATTCATAGATAAAAAGTTAAAAAGACTAAGATCAATCTTGCAGTACAATTCTGTGTTTAATAGAATGCTATCTAGATTTGTACAAGGAAGACCTGTCAATACAAATATTTGCACCAACAGCTAAAGACAAAGAGGAGTAAATTAAAATATTTTACCAAATTTTGCAGTCTGAAATTTATCAGACATGCAGTCAAGATGCATGAATAATAATTGATAACTGGAATGTAAAAGTTGAAAACACAGTAGAGGGATGGTAGTTGGATATTGTCTGCATGGA